TCTGGAGACTGTAGGCCTCAAATTATTCCTACGAAAACCTCTCAGACACAATTTTGAGTGTGCCGCGAGGTGACCAGGTATACAGGACAGAAGACAATGGGAAGGGCCAGCAGGGGCAGCAGACCTGAGATGACGGAATTGTCACGTACAGATTACAAAACTGTCTGGCCCTCCGTGCTTCGAGAAAAAAGACAAGCCCCAAAACGTGCGTCAGCAGGAGACGAGAGAGGAGGAGGTCAGGGGACAGAACTCACCACGAACCTTTATAACACGAACCTTTATAAACTCCCGAAACAGTGCCCGCTTTGAGACAAGTGCGTGTGTCTGTTTCAAAACCTATTCCAAAGGGTGAAGTTTCAAGACATTTCCGGACAAACCCAGTGCCGCCGCCGTCATGTTACTGCCTCTCTTGGCAACTGGGAGGTCACTCAGAGACAAATTCAGTCTCTGTTCGGGACTGTGCTGCCCACTACAAAAGCTACTAACCACACGTGGCCAATGAATATAAGTTTAAATGAAATAAAAGCAAAAATTCAGTTCCTCGGTTGCACTAGTCAGAGTTCAAGCCCTCAGTAAGCACACGTGGCTGGTGGCTCCTGTGTGGGGATGGTGTGAACAGGGAGCGTGTCCACTGGCACAGAAAGTTTCACTAAAGCTGTGGAATTAACACACCCGGCCTAACAGATACATGTTGACGTATACACACAGGACACTGCACCTGACAACCGCAGAATACGCAATGTTGCTGAGCATACTTGGACAATTTATAAGAAAGTACATATCCACAGCCATAAAGCAATCTTAATATATATAAAACTGAAGTCACGTAGAATGTCTTCTAACTACAGTGTAATCATGATAAAGATAGCAACAAAATAACTGAAAAATCTCCAGTTCTGAAATTTAAAAACATTTCTAAATAATGCATGGGTCAAAAACAAACCACATGCACATGACAGCGTGAACGTACTCAACACCACAGAGCTGTACACTTAAAAATGATTGAAATAGGAAAACTGTGTTGTGTATGTTTTACCACAATTTTTTTAAATAAGAAAAGTGTAGCGGTGCTGGAGGCCTCTCCAGTCTTAATCCCGATCTTATTCGAAATGTTTCTAAAGTTTCCTAAACACAAAGTTTATAGGAGCTTTTTGGTATTTAGTTTGTTTCTTAAAGATGAATGTTTCCTAATATGTGTATTATACATAAATGTTCAGTTTAGTAATTTTTTTGTATTTTAAAAATCAATGAAAATTAGAAAATATGCTTATTCGAATAAAAATACTATATAATACAACTTGCACATTACAGCTAAAGCGGTAATCAGAAGGAAATTCACAGCCTTAAAATCAATATATCAAAAAACAAAGGCTGGGGGAAAAATCAATAATAAGCCTCCATCTTAAAAAACTAGAAAATTAACTCACCAAAAATGAGAGTAAGGGAAAAACGATCACGAATTAATGACACCACATAACAGAAAGGAGAGCAAACACGAGCCGACTGACTCTGTCAAAGCCGCGGCTGGGTCTGCAGGAGCTGAGCGGGGCTGTTGAGGACGGGATCCCGGATGTCCCCCATTCCCAGGGTCACCAGCAGCCGGCGCCAACACGGCAGCACGCCACGCACAAAGAAAACCCAGAGCCTAGAAGAGTTCACAGGCCTCTGGCGAGACCCATCGAGGGGAAATGAAAATAAAAAGCGAGGGGGTGTGGGCTGAATGTGCAGACCACACGCCCCTTCTTCCCGCGCCCCCACTAAGTGCCGGGGGAACGGTATAAGGCCACCGGACAAGGAGCAAGGGAGGCGACGACACCAGACAAAAGTGTCCATCGGATTTTAGAAGATAGGAAAGTGGCTGATGGGGCAGCAGTGGCCCCGCAGAGCCGCGTGGGATGTGACTCCTACCCCCTGCCAGAGCGGGGCCCACAGGACGAGGACGAACCCCGGAAAGAGCCGGAGTCAGGGGCCCCCGACTCCCCGGAAGGCCAGTGCAGCCGATCGCCTCTGCCAAAGCCCCAGCGTCGCGGGTGCCACAGCCCGCGGGCTCCCCTGACAGTGTGACAGCAAGCAGGCTGGTCGAGAGCTGGGTGGCTGCCTCTTCCCCTTGAGCTCAGCACACTTCGCGAGCGCGGAGTGGGGTGCGGGGGGCGTGGTGCCTCCCTGCGCTAAGTCAGGAGGAGCCGCCCTGCAGCACACAGCTCTCCCAGGGACGCCCAGCCTCGGGGGCCGGCCGGCCTGTCACCAGAAAGGCCAGGCACCCAAAGGTGTCCTGGGCGTCCTAGCACCCAGAGCTTCCAGCTGAGGCCACGGACAGCATGGAACAGAGACAAGGCACACCCTGCGCCCGGCCACGCTCTGCCCCCGGAAGCCATGAGCGATAACACTCAAGTGCTAGAGTTTCAGGGTGATACTGTTTTGCAGTCTTTCCTCTGGTCCAAGTGGCAGGTGATCGTCCCTCCCATCCTGGGAGCATGTGGGTTACTCTGGAGAAGGGTGCAGGGGGTGACAGCTTCCTGGAAACAGGTTACAAGGCAAGGAGCACGTCCCTCCCGCCCTCCCCGATGCTGCTCCCGGCATGGGGACAGCCAGGCGAGCGCCGTCCCAGGCAGGGGCCTGGAGGAGCGCTGTCAGAGAAGCCAACCGGAAGACAGCGGTCCTCACCCGGTCACAGTCAACCGCACTCCACGGACAGCGCCCCTCAAAGCTCTCCAAGCCTCGCGCGTAAGTAGCAGCAGATGGGCTGAGAGCAAGCGCATGAGCGCCTCCAGCAAGAGAGACAGATATCCAGCAAAAAACTAGGCCAGGAGCAGGGGAGAGCTCTCGGGGACATTTATAGCTTTACTGCGGGGGAGGGAAGGAATCCAAGAAGAACAGGATGCTATTTTTTAAAAACCTGGCACCAAAAAAAAAAAAGCAATCTCTTCAAAAGCACGCCTACCCCACAGCCCGCAGGGGACTTCCCAGTTTGCCAGTACCATCTCTTAAGGGAGAATCGATAGACATTTGAGAAAAATTTCCAACATGAAATACAGGATTGCAAGCAAAAAGAAACAGAAGCGGGCAGGAGGGGAAACAGTCTGTGCTGGAGAAACACGCGGGGAGAATAAAATGGACAGAAACTTCTAGTAATATCCTCGGCAAGGCAGGATGCCATCTGCACGAATCAGGAACTAAATTCTATTTTTTTTTAAGAGAAGAAAAGAGAAAGGGAAGGATGGGGGAGGGGAGGAAGGAGGAAGATCAGAACACAATTCAAGAGCTCTGAAATTCAACGAAAACAAGCCCGCGAACGAAAAGTGTCATAGAAGAGTTGGAAGATAAAGTTGAGAATATTGCCCAGAAAAACAGAAGGAAAACACAGATGGGAACTGGGGTGGGGATTAGAGAATAAATTCACAAAGTCTAACATCCATCTAAGAAGTTAAGAAAGAAAGGAACATGGAAAAAGAAAGAAAAATTCAAGAAAACTTCCCAGTTTGACCACAAGGACCCACCGAGCACAGCGGAGGGAAACAGACCCAGAGCCGGGAGAAATTTCAGAGCTCAAAGGCCAAAGAGAGGACCCCGGTTTCCCAAGGGGGGACATGCTATCTGCAAAACATCAAGAATCAGATGCCGGGCGGTGACAGCAACCCCAGAGGCTACAGCACAGTCCAGCATCACCTCCGGGTCCCCAGAGACAATGACGTCAAACCCAGCAGGCCGGCCATCTTCCCTCAGGCAGGTTCTCAGAAAACTCAGCTTTCAGACAGCCATTCTCAGGAAGCTACTGGAAGGTGAGCGCCACCAGGAGGTGGCAAACCAAGAAAGATGATGCTGTGAAAGCCACCGCACAGAGCCTCCCACCCAAGGGAGGAGCAGGGAGCCCCTGGAGAGGTGGCCGAGGGGCCTCCCAAGACACAGCCGGGCAGCGGCCAGCAGGACACATGCGAGTAGGTGAGAGGCCCTGGGAGGGACGTCCTAAGGCGGCGAGCGGCGGTGACCCCGATGCGCTGGCTGTGTCCTGAAGACAGAGGAGGGACTGTGGCAAACAACGCAGGGCGCGTGTGCGCGTGCGCGCGTGCGTCTGTGCGTGTGCGTGCGCGTGTGGCAGCTTCGGCAGAAACAAGAACTACGTGTTTCTGTTCTGCACACACTCAGGAGTGCGCATGGTTCTAGCACATGTAACCGCCCACTTAGAAACGAGGGTGCTCCAGCCCCCGGACAGGCATCCACCGGCTGCCACCCGGAGGGCTGGAAGCAGGATGCCTAAACCGGAGACGCACGGACAAGGCTTCCCTGACCTTAGCCACCAGACGGGGCTTCACTGACCTTAGCCACCAGACGGGGCTTCACTGACCTTAGCCACCAGACGGGGCTTCCCTGACCTTAGCCACCAGACAGGGTAGTGTCTCTAAGGAGAGCACACCAGTCACGAACTCAGGCAAACGCAGGCCTCGCCAACACCATGGTGCGGTCTGAAAACTACTGAGACACGCGGACACATGGACACACGCACACGTGGACACGCGTGCGCGCACACACATGGACACACGGACCGGTCCTCGCAAACAACGAAAGGGGAGAGTGGCCGAGAAAGCCCATCCAGTCTGATAGCGTGTGGCGCGCGACTCCACTGCAGGTCAGCGCCCACCGGGTAAAGGGGACGGGGTGCCCCCTACCCGCCCACGCCTGACATCCCAGGTCCCGGCAGGGACCACCGGAGCGAGACGGCCAGGAGTCGGTGGCAGCTCACGGGCACCACGGGGAGGAGGACGGAGCCACACCCACGCGGAACAGTGTGACAAGGGCAAAGGGCCTGGCTCCGGCCGAATGTCCGCCGGCCCCGCCTCTGGGATTCTGGTCATTTACCCTGAGCTTCCACGTCTTCATCTACAAGCCGAACAAAAACCATGTCCTGCCTCTTAGAACTGTCTCGCACGTCGAAGGAGAAAACACACATTCTAAGATCAGTAACTGGGTGTGTAATAAGCTCTCAATAAATGTCAGTCATTTTTCTCATTAGAGCCTCTTTAAAATCGAGTGACTCCCCCATGGTGTCAGGCCGGGGTGGAAGGAAGGAGACACTGTTACCCCGTATCCGAGGTGGCCCTTAGCACCAGCGGCCATGCTCGCGCCTCGCGTGCTGGGGACCCCACTCGGCGACCCTGTGGGCAGGAGCCACGCGTGGGGCCCAGGTCCTGCTCCGCCCGCAGGCGGCGCGACGCGAGGACGGGGCCTTCGGACGCGAGGGTGGGCGAGAGGCCGCGGGGCCGCGGGGACGCGGCACTCACGGGGACGCCCTCCCCCGGCCCGGAGTTACGCAACCGTCTGCGTAAACAAAAGCAGAACACTCTGTAGGGACAGCGCGGCGAGGCCTGGGGGTCCCCGGAAAACAACGGCCCCATTCTCCGGGCGAAAGCCTCTCCCGGTGGCCCCTGGCGCCCCGGGTCACCCCGAGAGCCGGAGGAAAGCCGCCCTGCGCACACTGCGGTGGGCGCCGAGGGCCGAACGGGGGTCGGTGGCCAGCAAGGCCACCTCCGTCCCCGCGTGGAGACCCGGGCCGCGCCCACGGCGCCTCGGCCGTGTCACAGCTGACCCCGGAGCCGCCAGATTACGGACATAGACGGGGAGGCGGCGGCCGGCCGACCCGGGCCTTGTCCAGAGCCGCCGGCAGGAGAGAGGAAAGGGCGGGAAGAGGACAGCGCGGCGCAGCCCCGGCCCCCGAGCAGCCCCCGGCCCGGTACCTGGCTCAGGCGCGGCCTGCGCGGCCTGCTCCTCCGGGGTCCCCCGCGCCCGCCGTG